GGAAACAAAGGAGGAGGCAACAATGCTTGATAAGAAATGTACTCGTTACCTTGCCCATGTAATTGTAACCCCTCTGTATGGTATTTTCACAATAGAAAGAAAGAAAGAAAGAAAGAAAGAAAGAAAGAAAGAAAGAAAGAAAGAAAGAAAGAATGAGCCTCATGCAGAAAGGCTTTCCTTAGGCACTTCTGAATTGCCTGCTCTTTGCCCAGTGCCAGATACATAACAGGTGCTCAATAAATAGATGAATTCAGTTGGGGGAGGGCACTGACCCTGCTTAGGTAGCAATTGTGGGCCAGCCACTGTCACTATGTCTTCTCACTGATCACCCTCTAATCACCAGGTAGAGATCCACTACCTCATCTGGGGACCAGAAAACTAAGGCCCATTTCCTTCAGTCAGCATCTATGTACCTAATTATCTGCCCACGTATCTCTATCTATCTATCTATCTATCTATCTATCTATCTATCTATCTATCTATCTATCTATCTATCTATCTATTATCTATCTATCTATCTATCCTGTATCAAACTATCATCTGTTTTGGTGGTACTGGGGTTTAGACTATGGGCCTTGTCCTTGCTAGGCAGGCAGTCGGTTACTTGAACCATGTTCCCAGTGGGTTTTATTTTCCTTCCTGTTTTTGTTTTGTTGGTACTGGATCTTAACTCAGAAGGACCTAGATATTCTCCCTTAGTTTTTTCACTCAAGGCTGGTGCTCTACCACTGAGCTACACAACTCCACTTCCAGCTTTTGCTTGTTAATGGGAGATAGGAGTCTCATAGAATTTTCAGCCCAGGATTGAAGCTCGATCCTCAAATCTCAGCCTCTTGAGTAGCTAGGATTACAGGCATGAGCCACCAGTGCTGGGCTCTAGTTTGCTTTTTTTTTTGGGGGGGGGTGCTGGTCCTGGGGTTTGAACTCAGGGCCTTGGTGCTGTCCCTGACATTTCATGCTCAAGGCTAGCACTCTCCCACTTGAGCTACAGCTTCACTTCTGGCCTTGGTGGGTAATTAGAGATAAGAGTTTCATGGACTTTTCTGACTGTACTGGCTTTGAACCATGATCCTCAGATCTCAGCTTCCTAAGTATCTAGGATTACAGGTATGAACCTCAAGTACCTGGCTCTAGTTTGTTTTTTGAGATAGAATCTTGCACTAACTTTGTCCAGGCTGGCATCTCTGAAGGTACCTCCTGAGTAGCTGGTATTATAGGCATCACACACACACACACACACACACACACACACACACACACTACTCAACTGGGTCCTGTTATCATTTATGATGGATATAGATTAGATAGGATGATGTATCAGCTCTTAAAAGGACAAAGATCTTACAATATTACCAACAGCATGTTATGGAGGGAAAATAAATCCTGGAGAGGTCTCAGCCCCTTCTATGGCTGGTTAGCAGAGTTGGGACCACATTTAGACCTTCAGGCTCTGGGCTGTCAATGGAGTCCATGCATTGCATGATACTACCAGTATCCCAAAGCACCCAGCTTCCAGCCCTGGGGAGGGTCCTGCAGGAGCCTGGAGCTGCCAGGAGAACTTGAGAGGAAGATGAGGCTTGTGTTCAGAAGGCATACTTCCTGCCAAAGGTGATGAAGGAGCTTAGGACCCCAGGAGATCAAGATGAATGGGCTTGACTCTAGTTAGACAGAGACAAGACAAAGCGTGCAGGAGCGTGCCATGGATGGGAATTTACATACCGGAGGAGTAATTATAACCCTTTGTTACAAACCTCCCTGGCTAATGGGAGGTGCCGCAGAGTCAGAGCACGAATCAAGAACGCCCAGATGATATCTATTAGGGAACCATCATTCCTGACATTGTTGGAGGGATTTTTCTTGTCCTCACTCTGGGGCCTTTAATTAGCAGACAATCCTCCATCTCTGGGTTGGTCCCTGTGAAGGGGTTGGAGCTGAAGGGCGCCAGGCACCCTAGGATGGGGTGTGGGGGTGTGGAGGGGTGGGTAAGGACTACAATTGAGATCTCAGGATTCATAATGATTGTCATGATCATTATGATAGGACTTTTCTGGCCAGTGATGGCGTATGGGGTTGTCATGGAAACAGCGCACTTATTAGTGACATGCTTTTTCAAGGTTTCCTGGGAGCTGGAATTCTTAGCCGATGGACGCTGCCTGCCCTGCGATCCTCGCATCGCAGCCTGGGCAACAGGGACAAAGGAACAAGGCTCTGGAAGACTTGCGGTGCTTTCATTCCTCTTCTACCTCTGTCCCACTCTGTCTCCACAGTTCATGAAGATGATCTGTGGAGGCCTCTGGGGTGTGGACAAGTTCTATGTTGTCATCTGAGTGGTGGTCCCACAGGGTGTGTGTGTGTGTGTGTGTGTGTGTGTGTGTGAAGACTTGCTGAACTTCATGCTTTAGATAAGGACACATTATAGCATGTATACTCTAGCCCTATGAAAATAGTTGTTTAGGGCTGGGAAGGTGGCTCAGGGGTAGAGCGCTTGCCTTGCATGCAGGAGGCCCTGGGTTCGATTCCTCAGAACCACATAGGCAGAAAAAGCCGGAAGTGGCACTGTGGCTCAAGTGGTAGAGCGCTAGCCTTGAGCTGAAGAGATGAGGGACAGCACTCAGGCCCAGAGTTCAGGCCCCACGGCTGGCAAAAATAAATAAATAAAATAAAAGAAAGAAAGAAAAAGAAGAAAAAGTCTTGTTTTTTCCTTTCTTTTCCCTCCCTCTCTCCCTCCCTCCCTCCCTGCCTCCCTTTCTTCCTCCTTCCTTTCTTCCCTTCTATCTTCCTTTCTTCTTCCTTTCTCTTTTTTCTCTCTCTCCCTCCCTCCCTATCCCTCCCTTTTTCCTTCCCTCTCCCTTCCTTTCCCTCCCTCCCTTCCTTCCCTCTCTCTCCTTCCCTCCCTCTCTCTCCCTCCCCCTTTCCTCCTCCCTCCCCCTCTCTCCCTCTTTTTCCCTCCTCCTCTCCTTCCCTCTCTCTCCCTCCCTCTCCCTCTTTCTCTCTTTGTTCTGGTACTAGGCTTGAACCCAGGGTCTGGGTGCTGTCTTTAAGCTTATTCACTCAAAGCTGGCACTCTACCACTTGAGCCATACCTCTACTTCCAACTCTTTGGTGATTCTTTGGAGATGAGAGTCTCATGGACTTTCCTGCCCAGGCTGGCTTTGAACCACAATCCTCAGATAAGTCTCCTGAGTAGCTAGGATTACAGACATGAACTACTAGCACCCAGCCACACTTCCTTTTCTAACATGACCTGTGTGTGTGTGTGTGTGTCTGTGTGAATGATGACCATATGTGTGTATATAAAATGCATGTTTGTGGGTGGATATAGATATTCATCTTCTAGCACTCTTTTATGCAAAAGGTCTTTTCTCTCCAGGGATCGAGGCTTATGTATATGCACACATATGTGAGCACATGCACGCGCATGCGCACGCACACACACATACATACATACATATAAGCAGCATCTTTTATTTATTGTACTGTAGAAGCAGGAAGTTACACAAGTTTATTAGGGACTAAGCAAATTCCAAGTAAATTAGATAAATGTTTTGGGTTTTTTTTTCTTTAAAGCACACAAAGTAACTCTTAAGTCACTAATACATTTCAGAACACCACATGAGACCTGGGGGCTGTGCTCAAAGGGGTGGGCTCAAAGCATCCATTTTCTTTCCCATCCAGCCCCATCTCCTAGATCTACACACCCAAATATAGTGTCTGAGGATGGGAGGGGGAAGAGGGGGGGGGGCAAACCCAGGCATCAAGAGGTCTTTGCCTGTAATTCTGGAATATTTGAAGAACTTCATTTGGCCTCAGACACTCCATCATTTCATTCATCTTCCTGGTTTTACTTGGAGACGTGAAGATGAAGGAATCACCATGAGGGTTGAGGGGCCTTTCTTCCTTTCTAGCTGTTGCTTTTGGATTCCCTTACCCAATGCCCAGGGCATATGCTGGGCCAGATGGCTCGGGCTCCTGGCAGTCAACTCTGCTGCTTGAGAGCATGCTTGTACTTAACCTCATCAACTGCACTGGGTTTCAGTTCATCGTGGGGTAGAAGTGAGATACCGATCAGTTTAATTAGTTTAATGAGGGCTGTGGGAACTGGTCCACATTTTGAATTTGTTGCACAGAACAAATTGGTCTGACTGTGCCTTACGTATTTCAGCCTTCAGAAGGGAAAGAGCTCGCTCTCTCCCTCCCTTCTTCCCTCCTCGCCTCCCTGATCACCTAGGAAGGGTCTTTCTCTCGCAGCCTCTGAAGAAGGTGGGTGCTGTCCAGGGTGCTGTCCAGGGTGCTGTCCAGGGTACTGACAAACCAACGGTCAGGGGCTCTGCACTTCCTTTGGATTGCTTAAAACTTTGGCAACGCAGAGGGTCCAGACTGGGTATTTAAGCCACAAGAAAGCCTGGACTCTCATCAGAATTCCTGCTCAATAAAAGGCAGTGTTTATGCTTTTTTTTACCTAACAGGTAGTTTCAAAGTGGGATGCCAGGGAGATCTTTAGGAGTTTCAGGGGGGAGGCCATGTTTGGATGTCTCTGTGTTTTCTGCCTTGCTTTTCGGTTCTGTTCTGTGTATGTTTGTCTTCTGGGACATTTGTTTGCTATCTGCATGGGGAAGGCTCGGTTTTCTCTTGAGAAGGACAGGATCAGTATAGCTTTGGAGATCATAGATGTGCAGGTACCAAGAACACATCCCTGGCTTCCTGGAGTTGGGGATGGAGGGACACAGGGGCAGAGTGAAGGAACAGCGAGCAAAAGCTTCCGGCAGTAGTTTAGAAACCTAGGAATCAGAGCCAAGCAGTGGGCCTGTTGGCAGGGGTCCCCATCGCTGGTCCCAGAGGAATGCTAGGCCCTGAGGCCAAAGAAAGGGGGCTGGGCGTGGATGGTCTGCGGCCAATGCTGGACTGCGCGTGGGGTGGGGACAGGGCACACACAGCGGGATGAGGGAGAGGGTCTTGTGAGAGGCTCCTGACTCAACTCCATCGTGGCAGGAAGGGGGCGCTTACGCTTCAAAGAGCTCTTGGGAGTAGGCGCTGGGGTCCTCCTGAGACCGAGTCACCACCTTGAACTGGCGCCTGAGGAAACCGCCATAGCGCTTCTGGTTGTCCCATTTCAGCTTGGGACGGATACGCCTTAAGAAGCCCCCGTAGCGCTTGTACAGATCCTCGTGGCCCACCCCGTCCCCTTCTCCGTCCCCCTTCCCAGCCACCTCTGAGCTCCTCTTGGGGTATTTGCGCAAAAACCCCCCATAGCGTTTGACCTGCTCCTTGGCGGGCTCCTCTCCAAAATCAAGCGCGCCATTGCCCGGCAGGGCTTCCTCCATCCGCTCGGGACCCTCACCCTCCCCAAGCCCCTCCCAGAGACTTCTGAGACTCTCCTTTGCTGGGGTGCTGGGGAGATCTCTGCTTTTCTCCAGCTCCTTCAGGAAGGGGCTCAGGAGCCGGGCCAGCTGGCTGTAATCTTCTTCCAACGCTGCCTTGCTCTGCAAACCATCATCACCTCGCAGCCCACGGGCAGAAGAGGACAGAAAACCCTGGCACCTGCTCCACTCCTCGGAGGGCCACAGAGAGGTCTGACATTCCAAGGAGCAAATCTGCAAAAGACCCAGACACCACAGTGGGTAATGTCACCTGCCTCAAAAGAAAAATCTCAAAACACAGGCATTGCCCTGCTGTCCCTGACCGGCCCCTCTTCCAATGTCTGGGCAAATCAAAATAGGCCACCCTGGCTAAGCCTCTGGCTACCCATTTGGAGGCTCTCCAGGGTACATAAAGGTGGGCAACTTGGTGCCAGTGTGTCAGATGAGAAAACACACTTGGAGCCACTTTCAACGTTCACAGGGCTACAGGTGGCCATGCTAAAACTTCTCAGTGAGGATGCTGCTAAGACCTCATACACAGAGGCTGGGCAGTGCAAACGGCAGGAAGGTTTTGTGTGAGGGGCACAGGAGGGCTCGTCAGGCCAGGGTGGAGAGGATGCAACTACAGTGATGATAGCATCAGGACAGTACTGAGGCTTGAACCCTGGCTGTCCAATGCGTGAGTTCTCTTGTCCAACCTCCCAGCTGCACATCCCAGCTAAGAGACTCCAAGACCTCGGGGAGGGGCTGTCAACAGATCATGAAAGTTAGGGGTGACAACTCTCCAGGAGGGTGACTAGGTAGGGGTGGGGCATCAACCCCAGAGTGAGAACCCTGGGAAAATGGTTACAGAGCAACTGACTGCAAAGCCGGCACCTCATGAACAACACCCTGTTGCCAGGCATCCGGCTCCCTGGAAACCTAAGTTGGTCCTGGCTGAAGGAAGCCCATGGTGACAAGGACTGGGGCACAGATTGGAGCTAGAAAACACCTGGTAGCCAGCTGCCCACCGGGCAGGACAAGCCTTGCAGGGGTGGTATGAGTTCAGGTCAGGTACCGCTGGCCCAACACATGAGCTCTCCCCTCTGGGCTCCATATAAGCAGGACCGGGGCCCAGAAGTGCCTTGCTTGGAACCTACCAGGGGGTTGATGGGGTTGGCGTCTTGGGTCTTCACCGCACATAGGGAGCAGGAGGACAGACAATCCTCTGTGGCCACGGTGGGGAACATGAGGAGACAGGCCGCCATTGCCAGCCCCTGCCACATCATTCTGCCTCCTTTCCTGCCGAGAGGGAGAAGGACAAAGCTGTGAGATCTGGTTGTGCTCTGAGAGGCAAGTCCTGGACTGCCACAGCCACCTCTCACTCGTGTCCAGAGCACTGCAAGGTAAGCATCCTCCTTTCCATTGGAGAGAGTCCAGGGAATGGAGGCTCAGGGAATGAGAGGGAGGCCAAAGCGGAGGATCAAGGAAGGATCGGCAAGGGCAAGGTGCCTTCTGGGAGCTTCATGCATTCACAGTCTGTGAAACCGTTCAGCAAGGTAGGAGGTGCTACCTTCATTTGACTCTTGGGGAAGTTGAGGCACAGGGAGGGAAGGGATGGTGCGTGGAGAGGAAGCAGAAAAGCCAGGACTTGGTCTGTTCAACTTCAGACCCTGCTTTGATCATGTACCAAGTGGAAAGATGCATGCTTTTCTGGGTTCTCTGGGGGGCCTCTTTGTGTTGTCCTGGTCCTCTGGGTCCTGAGCAAGTTTTCATTTTTTTTCTTTTTTCCCACAGACTTTCCCAGTACTGAGGGTGGAACCCAGGGCCATGTGCATGCTGGGAATACACTCTACCACGGGGCTTCACTCCCAGCTTCCTTTCTGCTTTGCGGTCTGAAAATTTCCTTGCCTACCCCTGGACTGCTCCTACACTGCTACCTACCTATACTGCTCCCCTCCCTGTCAGATCCTTCTCTGATCTCATCTTCAAATACTCTACTCAGCATATGACTTCTATGACCAGACCCACCAAGCAATCAGGCCTGGTCCTTCTGCCTCACTCAAGGGCACCCTTGGTTCCACCCTCTACCCCAGCACCCAACTCTGAGACAGACACCACATCTACTTACTTGTAATTCCCTTGATGAAGCCATCAGGCTTGGCCCCACTTCTGGGCCTTTGCACATGCTATTCTTCTCCTTTTGTTACCTGTCATTTAAGTCCTAGATTTGACATCATTGGCTCCAGGTGTGGAGAGGACCCAACTTCCTATTCTCCCAGTAACTGTGCAGCTTTTGTTCCATCATTAGTTGTCTAAACATCTGAACTCCAGCTCTGTGAAGTTGGGGGCCATGTCATCTCTTCTCTGTAATGCTTCCTCTGTGTTCCTCAAAGAAGCCAAGCTTCTTCCTGCCTCAGGACCTTCACTCTTCTCTCTCTCTCTCTCTCTCTCTCTCTCTCTCTGTCCCTGTCTGTCGTCTCTGTCTGTCTGTCTGTGTCTCTGTTTCTCTCTGTGTGTGTCTCTCTCTGTCTCTGTGTGTCTCTGTCTCTCTGTCTCTGTCTCTGTCTCTGTCTCTGTCTCTGTCTCTCTCTCTCTCTCTCACACACACACACACACACACAGAGGCCAGTACTGGGGCTTGGACTCAGGGCCTGAGCATTGTCCCTTAGTTTTTACCTTCAGGCTGCTGTTCTACTACTTGAGCCACACCTCCACTTCCAGCTTGTTTTGGGTGGTTAATTGAAGCTAAGAGTTATAGGATTTTGCTACCCATGATGGTTTCAGACCACAATCCCCAGAGCTCAGCCTCTTGAGTAGCTAGGATTTGCAGATGTGAATTAATTAAATATCACATGGCCAGTGAGGCAGGTGCTGGTTGATTTTCTCAGCACCTTGTTTGATATTTGTTTGTTGGTGCTGACAGTTACCATTCCCTACCAGAACGTTGGCTTTTGAGGGCACAAACCTTAACTGTCATATCCCTTGCCATGTCCCAGCAATTAGAACACTGGCCAGCACACAGTAGGGCCTCAACAAACACTTGGAAGATGAGTTGAGGAGTCCTGAGAAGTCTGTTAAAAGTGGTGCCTTTCATAGTTGACTCCCGATGTGCTAAACACAAAGACTGCAAGCCAATCTTGTAGGTGAAGTATGCAGCTCCCCACTGTGGAGGTGTGAGGTTCCAGAGATGCCTGCCCTGGCTGGCCAGCAGGGGGCCCTACTCTCTTTCCAGCCTGGCCTCTTACCTTTACCTCCCATCTAGAGATGGTGTCCTCCTTCCTTCCATGTTCATGCTTCCTGCAAACTACTTGGCAGCCTAGGGGCTTGGAAAATCCCACCCCAAGCCCAAGTCTCACACCATAGCACAGAGCCAGGTCTCTTCTCCAAAAGTTCACCGTGGGTTTCCCTAAAAAAACAGGCCTAATAATGATCCTAGTTTCCATTCATTAACCTCAACTTCTAGAAGACTCTGTGTCTGTTACCAGAGGAAAGGTGGGCACTTCCATTGCAGCCAAATGCCCGGACATACCTGAGTGGCAAAGCTGGAGAGCTGGGCCAGGAAGCTGTATGCACAGGCACTTCACTTGTACACCAGACTCAGTCTACCCACCCACAGTGAGGGGGAGCCTCATCACCCCCGCTTTAGAGATAAGGAAACACTATCCAGAGGTGCTGGCAGATCTGCGGAGGTCATGGGGCTCAGGCCCACAGACCTCTCTTGGGTTTTAGAGACATTTCAAGGAAGCTCAGAGTGGAAACACTCGGGGCAATGGCCTCGGGTCACCCTGAGTGTCTTTGCTGCCCTTGGGCTCTCTAGCTGCTCTATCAGTGGCTGAGCCGATTAGAGTTCCAAGCCAGTGAGCTGCACTGTTTACCAGGAGACACAAAGCAGGCGGCCCCATGTTTTCTCTGATACCAGCGATGGCTGGGCTGGCCTGTTATAGGATTAGAGTGAATTAACTCCCTGGGGAGGGGAGCCTGAGCCACTCTGTAACTCCTGAGGCCTCCCTCACTGCTAGGTAAGAGAGGCCACCTGTCTATCCTGGGCAAAACTGGCACCAGGATCATTCACTTTCTAGTAATGATACAGCCAACGGATGGCAATGAAGTATCCACGGGGCTCTGAGCAACCCGCCTGGGTGAACTCACTCACAGGCATGCCCAGCAATGCCAGAGACTGGGTGCTGCCACTGTGTCCATTCACCACAAGGAAGCTGATGCCTGCCAAGACTTCGGAGCTAGGCTGCAGAGCTGGATGTGTACCCGGTAGTCTAGCTCCAGAGCTCTCCTTCTTTTATTTTTTATTTTTTGTAAGTCATGGGGCTTGAACTCTGGGCCTGGGCACTGTCCCTGAGCTTTTCAGCTCAAGGCGAGCACTCTACCACTTGAGCCACAGTACCACTTCCAGTTTTCTGGTGGTTTGGAGATGAGTCTTGTGGGCTTTCCTTCCCTGACTAGCTTTCAAACACAATCCTCAGATCTCAGCCTCCTGAGTAGGTAGGATTACAGGTGTGAGCCACCAGCACCCAGCAAGACCTCTCCTTCTTAATCCCTGACTACTGCTCAGGTCCCTTAGTCCCCTCTGCACCAGGCTTTAATTTGTTCTCCAGGGTTCATATCAGCTTCCACCTGCTTCTGGAGTGGTCACCAACCTGGTCTTCTTTGACTTGGCCCCAACGAGCTAGGGGACTCCTCTATCACAAAGATCTGACTAAGTTCCAGCCCTGCCCCAGTCTCTGCCACCTTCAAGAGGTCTGACTTCTTTAACCTGCCCTTCATGGCTCTTCTAACACAGGCATTTGCTAGGTGTCACTGTGTGCCAGGCCCAGTGCTTCATCCTGTATGTGTTTTCACATGAGGAGTTCCTTGTTACAGATGAGGAAGCCAAGGCACAGATATCCTAGCAAGTACACTGTGTCCAGACAGCTGGGTGTGGGTCCTGTCTGACGTAGGATTCATGGGGTCACCTATGATCCCATAAGGGCCGTGTGCACCCGTCACCAAGCCTTTGTCCACAGGGATCCTGTGCCTAAAGCACCTTCCTCACTTATTCATCCCCTCATCTGGCTCTCACTCTGATCTGACTCTTCAAAATCCAGTCTTAGTGGCCTTCTCCAGGAAGCTTGTTTGGATTAAACCCCTCTTTTAAGCTCTTGAATAATGACCTCTTCCTTTCCTTAGTCTACTAGCAGAAAGAACTCTTCTGAGGGGTAGGGGTGTGTGTGTGTGTGTGTGTGTGTGTGTGTGTGTGTGTGTGTGTGTGTGTGTGTGTGTGTGTAGGTGAAAGAAGGCAATGAGATACACGGGGACTCAATTATATTGGCCCTTGAGGGCCAAGGTAGGGTTTGCATGTGTTCTAAACGAGATAATATCAAGGAAGCTTGAATGATGGCTGCATGAATAAATCGATGGATGGATAGATGGAAAAAGGAATGAATAGATGAATGGAAAGATGAATGAGGATAGATGGATAAACTGATAAGTGGATGAATGAGGGGGTGGGTGGATAAATGAGTGGATAACCTGTTGGGTTGATGAATGGATGGGTAAATGAATTGATAGGTGGATGAATGATTGGGTAGGTGGATGGGTGGATGAATGGATGGATGGGTAAATGGATGGGTGGATGGATGGGGAATGGATGGGTGGGTGGATGGATGGGTAGATGGATGAGTGGATGGATGGATGGATGGAGTTTCAGCACTTCACACAGGGCTACAATGAGAGTAGGCATTCTATACAAGTTTGTTAAGCAAATAAACAGGCATCATTTCTAAATTGGGATATTTTTGTGTTAAAAAAAACAAGTTGATCCCCAACTTGTCTTGAAATACAAGGAGTGGAGGCACTGGGCCTGCATTCCACTGTGGTTATGGAGGGCTCACCACCTGGTCCCCACGGACTCTGAGGGCTCACTGTCTGGTAGCCACTAACTCCAAGAGACATTTGCAGCTGCAAAAGTTGGCCAGCCAGGACACAGCACCCAGGCAGCCTAGCATGGGCTCTGCTTCCCCTGGGCTTCACCAAGTCACCTGCCATCTCCCAACCAAGGCCTAAAGTACCCTGTCATGGGCTGACTCCAACAGCCTGAAGACGCTGCATGAACAGAAGGGGTGTCCGTGGGGAGGAAGGAGGGAGAGGCGCTGATCCCTTCCTGGCCCAGCAGCAGTTTAGTGACATGGGCTCAGGGCCCATCCTACCACTTCTTACAACTCTAGGCATATGACCTACCTTTGCTGTGCCCATGTTTTCTCTTCTATGAAATGGGGATAGGGTCGTGTTTCAA